CTCCTCCACCGCCTCCATTACCGGTTTTGATCAGCAGCGATTTGCCTAGAAAGGCGTCGAGTGGAAGAGCGGTTAGCACAACGCCGCCGAGAAGGCGTGGAAGAGACAGAAGGTCCGGTTCAAGAGGTCACAGGAAAGCTAATTTGCCTGTACGATTACCAGATTCGGGTTATAAGACTGAAAGAAACTAAAGCCCCTTGCAAAAAAAGAGTCTTGGGTTCTTCTTCTTCGTGGTCAACTCTCATCACCAAAACCACACATTCAAATTTTACCACACAGTATGTTCGTTCTTTTGTTTTTGTTTTGTTTCTCTATTGATTCTAAGGATTCAAAATCATTTTTTTAATGTATATATATATACACGAACATTTTGTACTTGGATAATAAATTATAGTTTCGAATTTTTAATGAAAGGTAAAAAATCTGTCTTAAGAGTAAGAAGAGACCATCCGAGTTAAAGAAAGTTAAAAAATCTCTGATGGTATATGCATCAATGGTAGATTGTATCTATACAGCAGCGATCACTAATAACAAACGTGTCATCCTTTTTGCTTTGATGTTAGGTCTAAGAATTTTAGTCTTTGTTTGTAACATTGATTCTTTCGTCTTCAGGATGATCGACCACAATGGTAAAATTAGGTTTTTGTAACTATAAGAATTACCTTAGTCTTATTGAGCAGAGAAACATAATTGGTCTCATACGACTGCTCGTAGATACTTGATCACGTACTAGTGCAAACCAAGAGATGAAGCTACAACGTGGAGAATCTGATTCCTCGGTGCCAAGTTATAAATTTTGATAGTTTGTTTACTAATGTTGTAACTTTGTTTTGCAAAAGTTTTAAATTTTCAATTATTGTCTTCAAAATTTTCTATAAATTTTTTAATTTCCATATAAATGGTCATGTGCGTATGCATCAATAATCTCTGTGACGATATTGAAACTATGGTCCTTTCTTGCATGCGCATATGTCTACCACTATGTCAATTCACTATAATTAACTGATTTGTTTTGTTTCTGGCCATAACTATAGGTTATATCATATGAAGAGATTGCGACAAACAAAAACAAACAAAAAAAATCATGAAGAGATTTGGATTCGTTGAATTTCTCTTCAGTACTGGCCTGGGCCATGATTTAAGGTTTTATCACAAAGAGAACCAACTTGTTCATACACTTTAAGTCTCTAAAATGATTGCTCACCAAGTGTTTTTTTTTCGTTGATAAGCTCTCTTTTTTTTTGTCAATAGATATGATTATATTTCTATTTTGTTATTTACCTATACACTAGGATATTGGCCTGCACGCATGTGCGGGCATGAACAATTTTTAAAATGTAATTATCTAAATACAATATCTAAATCCGTTTTACATATTTTAATTTTTTATAGTATATGAAACTCAAGGTCAGTGCTTTGAATTATAAGACTTTAAATAAAGTAGTAAAATATGATCTAATTTTAACTAAACATTTTGTTATAATAAAAGGTTCATTTATATTTTAGGACAGACTTGAAAAATAATAATTAAATTTGGAAAACACAAAACTTATTTTTCCATGATCAGACTTTATAAAACTTGACCCGTTATGTTAGAGGGTCAAATGGATCAAACCCGTGGATAGCTGGTTACCTTATTCGGATTTGCGGATCAAACTGCAAATTTTATCTTCTCTGTCTTTTTTTTTTAACAAACGTTTTTCATTTTCTTTGTCTTCTTATAATCTTCCTCAATTTAAAGCATTATTTCTTCAAGGATTCTGTCATTGTTGGTCTCAATCTACTTATATGTGCGATTTTTCTACTTATAATTTTATCAAGTAGACTCTACAAATAATTGCAAAACTATCTCCACTTAAGCATCACGTGCTTCAATTAGCCCTATTGTAAGACATGTTTCAGCGAAGGTGGAATATAAAACTCTGTTTACTGTTCCATGATTTTTCGAAACATACTGGTCTTCTCTGAACATTTAGCAATATTTTAAGATAGAAAAGTTCACCATATTCTTCTGAAACTTCTGAAAGGCTAATATCGTAGGGAACATTGTTTTTCTGTTGCGAGGGAGCCACTACTTAATTTTTTGATGCCAAACCCGTTTGTTTGGTAATTCAGTGTAGCGATAAAACTTTGATTCATTACACTCACGATTGGAGTCTATACAACCTTCAAGTTTCATTTTAGCCATATTCGATTTAGATAAATGGATTGGTAGAATTGACATGCCTGCGCTTTAAGTTAGGGTTTGATTTGTTTGATACTCATTGTGTTGTGATGTTTTCTTATATAAGAATTCGAGTATTTAACTTTTTCATTAGTTATTTGGGATGAACGTGATTTTATATGGATCTTTTTGGTTTTTATTAAATGGATATTAAACTTTTCAAATAATGTAGAGGATAATGATTTTGGTTTTTCATTAGATGCACGTTGATTTTTTAGGATATTCAACTTTTGTTACGAAAAATAATGTAGAGGATTATTAAATCGAAATCTTATATTTATATTTGTTACTATTTTTTAACTAAAGTAATATTTTAAAATTTTGAATGTTCTACAGAAGATCACAATAATATCTTATTTTATTATTATAATTTTTTCAACTAAAGTATGTGAAAACATATGTGCACGTAAATGGAGCACCGCCTTTACAAAAAGTATGAATTATTAAGTAAACGATTTGATCAACATGATTTTGTTATTATAATTTTGCCTACTGAAATATATAAAAATATATGTGTATGTATTCCATATGAATATAGTATTATAATATATATATATATATATGTGTATTTATATGGAAAGTTACAGTAGTCCACGACATAGCTATAGTAAATATATATAATATAGTATTATCCATAGTATTATAATATATATATGTATGTATTAAAATCATCACATTCAGCTCAAAATTCATATGCTATTATCTATATATGTGAATAATAATATCAGATCATTCATAATGCATCTAGCGAATCATTCATTTAGTTATTAATACATTAAATTTTATCATCTAATTAAATTAATTATTAATGAAAATATCACAAAAAAATTTTTTGCCATGTCATAAACCACATGTGTTAGTAAATGTCATGTTACAATTACATCATCATTACACATCATCATTTCTATGTTACATTTAATTAGGATAAAAAGTGATTTTAACCAATCAAATTAAAACAAATCATCATTTTTCATTAAACTACTTTCTCAATTAATAAGTAGAGGATTAAATACATGGTCCGGAATATAATTCTTATATTCACAGCAATATCGAGTCGAAGAATGATATCTCAGTCAAGACTCATCGTTGATTCATACAAGTCACTTTCTAGTTGGCTTATTACATGAACGAACACAACCTATTTGACCTGGTCTTAAAGCCATAATATAATATATAACATATATATACCGATTTACGTCAATCATAAATGATAAAACAATATTGTAAGATGAAAGTAACAAAATTTGGTTGGCTAATAGTTTAATCCTAGTTTGTCACCAAGAATGACAGTGTGGATTCGAACTTATCTAGAACCACTAACAATTAAGTGGAAAACGAAGCAAAAAAAAAAACATATCAAAAATTTCAGACCAACAATTTCTTACAACGAACCAAGGTAGTAATTAAACGAGTTCCCTCTATTTGTTGTGTGAACCTTATATAAATACTCTAATTGATGAATCATGACGAGGCTCAGGTCACGTGTACTCGTTCTAATTTATACAAGTTCCAACTTTTAAGAGCCAAAACGATTATGAGTACATACAGTATTTCTACTAACTAACTTCTTTTTTTTTTAGAGAGAGCTTAATTATAATTTATAAGTAATAACTGAGATTTCGTTAATAACTTTATCGTATCAAAAAAACCCTGAACACGTAATTAATTTTAGTTTCGAAAATCACATATGGTTTTCTCTTTTTTTTTTTTTTTCATTTCAATTCAAAATATCATGTACACAATCATGTCCGATAAAACATGTGTTAGCCAATTTGTGATGAAATTCAGTAATACAATCATGTCCGATTAAGACACAAGTACGAATTAATCAAATCTGTTTCACTTCTATCCAAATTTTTTGGACCACTAGGAGAGTGTGACACTGTGACTCATACGTTTACTTTAGTCAGTGCATGTGGTTAGACTTTTATGATATCATCTCATAGCATTGAATATAATTTTTGACAAAGACAAAAGATTGGTTTTATTAATATTTGCTTCATACCAACTTGGTTTTAGAAATTAACATTTAATCGTAAACGTATTAATTAAAAAATGTTAAGAGAAAAATCCATGTTATTGTAAAAAAAGTATAGGGTGTTATTCGGTCATGATGAATTATAAGAGAACATAGTTGCAAGTATTAGTCTGTTGTTATTCGATTGCTCGTTTTTAATTACATAATAAATTTTGGTTGTAATTGAATATGATCATCAGGTTTTAGAGTCTTCAAAATTTTGTATTATCAATTAGTTTTTAAATACTTCACTAAATTTTGATGTTAATCGAAACCTATAGAATTTTAAAGTAGATATATTGAAAGATTTTTAATAGGGCTTCGTTTTCATTAGTATACTATTAAAACTAAGTCCAAAATAAAAACAAATATTTTGGTTAGAATTCTACCTCTTTGAGAATTCATCGATAACCAGCTTCCTCTCTTAAGAAGCAAAATGATTAATTAAGTTTTCTTATTATTAAAGAAGACAAAAGAATACTAAAAATTATTTTCCACTCAAGTTTACTTTCCATATTGGTTTCCAATGATTATATTTTCTTGATATGATCTTAAGATAAATTAAGTGCTATAAATATTTTTCTCTTTGATGACCACGTCCGTTTTAAATTTTATTTCTTGCTCTTCATACTTACAAACCATCTCTTATTTTTAATAATTACAAACCTTTTTTTTTTGTTTGGTCTACACTTAACAGTTCACACATAGATAAAAAAGATTTTATATCTCAAATCTTTTGTCACACTTAGTGTGTGTGTGTAAAGCAAGACTAACACGTTTCTTTCTAACATGATATAAGAACCATGCTTAGTTGAAAATTAAAACCTACAGAGTTTTGAAGTCGCTAAGGCACTGCTATGTGATGTCCCCAGATAATGTATCACACGATTCAAAAACCACAAACAAACAAAACACATAAAAACACATATAATGGCTCTTTGACCCTCTTGGGCTGATGAGTAAAAATCAAACCATAAGGCCACAAAACAGAGGACAACAAAAACAAAAGAAACGTCAAGAAGAAGAAGAAAAAAGAAGAAGATGAAGAACGGTCTGGTAATCATAAACTGCATCATCCTCACTATAGGAACATGTGGAGGTCCTTTGTTAACTCGTCTCTACTACAACAATGGCGGAAAACGAATCTGGTTCATGAGCTTTCTCTCAACCGGAGGTTGTCCGATCATCCTCGTCCCTCTCTTTTTCTCCTTCCTCAGCCGCCGCCGCCGTCGCAGCAGCCGCAACCGCAACAACGAAGAAAACGCAGAGAAAACAAAGATCATCCTCATGGAAACTCCTCTGTTCATCGCATCCATCGTCATAGGATTGCTCACAGGACTTGACAACTACCTATACGCATACGGATTAGCTTATCTGCCAGTTTCAACTTCATCTCTCATAATCGGAACTCAGTTAGCTTTCAATGCTCTCTTCGCTTTCTTCATGGTCAAGCATAAGTTCACTCCTTTCTCTATAAACGCCGTCGTTCTGCTGACGGTCGGCACCGGGATCTTGGCCCTGCACAGCGATGGAGACAAGCCGGCTAACGAGAGCCATAGAGAGTATGTGGTTGGATTCCTAATGACTGTGGTTGCAGCTGTTCTTTACGCTTTCATATTACCGCTCGTTGAGCTCACTTACAAGAAAGCTCGACAAGAAATCACTTTCCCACTTGTGCTCGAGATGCAGCTGGTCATGTGCCTCGCTGCTTCTTGCTTCTGTGTCGTTGGGATGCTCATCGATGGCGATTTCAAGGTAAGCAGAAAAAACAAAATTCAGCTGTTTAGTTAATTAATGGTTTTTATTATTATAGCATAAAGGTAGCTTTGGATGGATCTTGATTGAGGAACGTTCCAAGAACCAGAGTATTATGCAGATTTTGATGCAAACCCTAATACTAATAACTGAGTTTTTTTATTCGTATTATAAATCATCTTTTTTTTTTTTCAAATGTTTAGGAGTTATACTAAATTTTGTTCTTTTGTATTTTAAAAACATTAAATGGGTATTTTGTACTCAAAAGTGTTTTAAATTCAATTATAAATTTAAATTTATTGGTGTATTTATTTAAGACATCATTTCAACTTGTATACTATTAAATAATTGATTGAATAATATAGAATTTTGATTCGGATTTCCAGTCAATCCAATAACCACCAAAATGTTTTCATGATCATTTAAAAAGTCATTAATCATATAAACATATAAATCATCCATCCAATAAAACATTTTGGGACATGTTCGTAGGTGATACCAAGAGAAGCAAGAGAATTCAAGATCGGAGGATCTGTGTTTTACTACACGTTGATTGTGCTTATAGGGATAATATGGCAAGGATTCTTCTTAGGAGCCATAGCGATTGTGTTCTGTGCATCGTCTCTAGCTTCTGCTGTTCTCATCAGTGTTCTTCTTCCGGTGACGGAAGTATTGGCTGTAGTATGTTTCCGGGAGAAGTTTCAGGCGGAGAAAGCTATTTCTCTCTTTCTCTCTCTCTGGGGGTTCGTCTCTTACTTCTACGGCGAGTTCAAATCCGGCAAAAATGTTCTCGATAAATCTCAGCCGCCGGAGACAGAGCTTCATGTTATTCCAGTAGTTAGTACTTCTGTTGTTTAAAAGTCGACGTTTGCGTTTCTATAACAGAGACATACGGTTATATTTTGTCTTTTTTTCATGTTATGTTATGTGCATTTTTATTTATTGAATTTGTTATTGTTCGTGTGCATGCATTACTAAACTTATCAATAATGGTCCGAGTTGATACAACTCGTGTAACATTCGAAAGCTAGATGAATCAAAACGGATAAATCCGAAGAATAGATGTCAAAATCAAATAGAGGTGCGGATAATTGTAGAATATGATGTAAAAAATGCATCTTATTGGAATTAAAAAGTTTTATCTATTGTCGACTAAATTATTTAAACCCATTTCTCAGGTTGTTCCATTAGAGAGACCCATATTCATGAGACTACGTCTTTTCTAGACCAACAGTTTTAAATGTCAAAACCCATTTTATATCATATCAATATACTGAATACTACTATAGTATTAAATGTTACATTTGACAAAAACAAAAGAAAAAAAGTCGACACCAGAGTTTAAGAAATAGTTATTCTGTTATTATCATCAGGCTGCAAATTGATTAATAAAGATTCTTATAAAAGAAGAAAATGCTACAAAATATTTATAATCAAGTTTACTTTCTACAACAGTATGCTAAACGATCAAACCACATATATATTCAGTCATAGCATGAATATATTACTTGACTCTAGACATATAAAAATAAAATAAAGCACAAATAGAAAATATTCTTGTATAAAAATAATATCATGGATATTGAGAATCTTCTTCTGCTTTAAACTGGTCATCGGGCTTTAATAATCGATGGTATTTGTTCGGAAAGATAAGATTTTGCTCCCAAAGTATCTTCAATATAAGAATAACTTACTACTTCTCTTTAATTAATCACGTCCTCGTTTCTAGTGGAAATTCAATTTTCTTGCTTTGTATACACACTATTAAACACAGATAATAATGAAAAATGACTTTTCTATTTGAACTCTCTGTTTTTGTCATCTATAATATAAAAGATGGTCAACTCTCTCCAGTTGAGTGCCACCTCAGCACATGAAAGAATGACATCTGTCATTTTAATTTTTATAATTAATAAATTATTATTATTATATAATTAAAGTTAGACCAATTAATTATTTACTTTTTAAGTGTGTGCTATTTAAATATCTTTGTTTTGGTTTTTATATGTTTGATAAATATATATTTTAATTTATTGTTAATATAATAAAAACCTCACAAAAATAATCAGAATAAAAATAAAATAAATTAAAATTTGCAGCGTGATATGTGACCGAAAAAGTAGTATTAGAAATATTTAATTAGTCTCCGCCAAGAACAAATACGACCTGCTAAAAATAGTCGTCTCTACTTATATTGTGATTTGAAGAGTTTCTATAATTACTTTTTTGTTATATAGTACTTCTCTAAAATACACTATATCTATTTAATTTATTCTATATATACAACGCATAACATATTTCACATTTCATAATCAATAAACTATTTATTACATATATAGTCAATGTCTACATAATATATACATATATATTGCATGTTTATTCAAATACACAACATCCTTAAGTAAAATTTAAATATACGATAAAATAAATTTTAACTAAACTTTTTAACAAACTATATTATATAACAAAAATCCGCGCATCGCGCGGGTACTCATCTAGTACATAATAATATAGGTACGTAGATTAAAACGTTATTTATTTTGTCAACGATCAAGATGTGTTAACACTGGTTTAAAAAACAAAATGTGGTAACACGTCTCCTATTATCAAGATAAAGTGTTTTGAAGTCGCAAACGCGCCGCTACCTGATGCATAAGACGATTCAAAACCACAAACAAACAAACCGCAAAGAAAACAAAGATCACACATATAATTACAATGTTAAAATACTTTTCCTAATGTACACGAATAAAGCAAGCCGTTACGATTGCTTTCAGACAGCAAAAACAGCAAGAAGATGAAGCACGGTCTGATAATCATACTCTGCATTGCCTTGGCTATAGGAACATGTGGAGGTCCTTAGCTAACTCGTCTCTACTACACCAATGGCGGTCAACGAATCTGGTTCATGAGCTTTCTCTCAACCGTAGGTTGTCCGATCATCCTCATCCCTCTCTTTTTCTCCTTCCTCAGCCGCCGCCGCAGCAACCGCAACCGCAACACGAAGAAAACGCACAAGAAACAAAGATTTTCCTCATGGAAACTCCTCTTTTCATCGCCTCCATCGTCATTGGGTTGCTCACGGGACTTGACAACTATTTATACTCATACGGATTAGCTTATCTGCCTGTTCCCACATCATCCCTCATAGTGGGGACTCAGTTAGCTTTCAATGCTATCTTCGCTTTCTTGATGGTCAAGCAAAAGTTCACTCCCTTCTCCATAAACGCATCGTTTTATTAACGTTCGGGATCGGAATCCTGGCCTTACACACCGACGGAGATATACTGTTAAAAGTTGATGATATGTAGAATTGCATAAGGTGATTGGCACAAACATCCTGAAATTTAAATCATTCATCAATTAGAGGCGCATTGACCAATCCAATTATCTAAATTATGTATTTGATATGTTTTTACAAAGGTAATTTTTTTAATTAAAATATGCATTAATATTTTCTTTTTTTAATGTTGATTTATTATTGTATTATAAATTATGAGAATATTATATGGACGGTTTAAAAATATATTGTTTTCATGTAAAACAAATTTGAAAATGAATTTTCACCAAAAATAAGAATATTAATTAATTTCATAAGTCAGGAGAAACTGATGGGTAGAGTAGAAGATTTTCATGTAATGCTATTGTGGACTTTTAAATCGAACAAAATCAAGTTTAATCACATCTTTTTTGTCACTGTGTTTCTTATTTTCTACTCTACCCATGATTTTTACAATATAATTAATTATTCACAATAGCATGCATTACATGATAATCGTCTACTCTACCCATCATTTTCTCCTGAGTTATGACTTGATTAATACTGAAATCATTTGTTAATTGGTGTAGACAGATTCTGATTCAATCAATCCAATAATTCAATAAATACTCTAAATTTTAACTTCCATTTAAAAGTCAAACATGTAAAACAACATTTTTTCATCGTGTAACACACAATGACACACAAAAATATGATCAAACTTGGCAAATGATCATTGTATAAAAACCTGGATCCGGTCCATTTAAATTAGTTTAAATGGATTGATTTGGCTACCTATGTTATCAAAGTGCACTTATCTTTTCGGTCACTGGTCTCGAGAGAACTCTACAGTTAAGAGTGCTTGAGCTGGAGTAGGACTAGGATGGGTGACCTTTCGGGAAGTGATTCTCGAAACCGTGTGAGTGAGGCCAAAACATGGGAAAATGTCAAGTGGTGATTGCAGGGTCAGTAAATAAGTCGGTTGGACTCCGGAAAAAAAATAACGCACCGACCGTCGGACATGGGCGGGGTCCACGCGCCCGACAGAGGGATGGGTGACTCGCCGGAATGGGCGTTCGAAGGCGTTACAAGTGGTATCAGAGCCTGAGAAGTCAAACTGGTTCTGTCCCAGGAGACTGTCTTGGAGTTTGGGGGTTAAGGCTCGCACTGTCGGGATCAGAATTCAAGGACGAATTCCCGTATAGTGGGGGAGAATTGTAACGACCCGGGTCCGGCCCATTTGAATTAGTTTAAATGGATTGATTTGGCTACCTATGTCATCAAAGTGCACTTATCTTTTCGGTCGCTGGTCCCGAGAGAATTCTACAGTTAAGAGTGCTTGAGCTGGAGTAGGACTAGGATGGGTGACCTTTCGGGAAGTGATTCCCGAAACCGTGTGAGTGAGGCCAAAACACGGGAAAATGTCAAGTGGTGATTGCAGGGTCAGTAAATAAGTCGGTTGGGCTCTGGGAAAAAAATAACGCACCGACCGTCGGACATGGGCAGGGCCCACGAGCCCGACAGAGGGATGGGTGACTCGCCGGAATGGGCGGTCGAAGGCGTTACAAGTGGTATCAGAGCCTGAGAAATCAAACTGGTTCTGTTCCAGGAGACTGTCTTGGGGTTTGGGGGTTAAGGCTCGCACTGTCGGGATCAGAATTCGAGGATGAATTCCCGTATAGTGGGGGAGAATTGTAACGACCCGGATCCGGCCCATTTAAATTAGTTTAAATGGATTGATTTGGCTACCTATGTCATCAAAGTGCACTTATCTTTTCGGTCACTGGTCCCGAGAGAACTCTACAGTTAAGAGTGCTTGAGCTGGAGTAGGACTAGGATGGGTGACCTTTCGGGAAGTGATTCCTGAAACAGTGTGAGTGAGGCCAAAACACGGGAAAAGGCCAAGTGGTGATTGCAGGGTCAGTAAATAAGTCGGTTGGGCTCCGGGAAAAAAATAACGCACCGACCGTCGGACAGGAGCGGGGCCTACGAGCTCGACAGAGGGATGGATGACTCGCCGGAATGGGCGGTCGAAGGCGTTACAAAAACATTTTAGTATGTTGGTAGGTTATACCAAGAGAAGCAAGAGAATTCAAGATCGGAGAATCTGTGTGTTTATTACACGTTGGTTGTGACAATAGGGATAATATATATGGCAAGCATTCTTCTTAGGAGCCATAGGGATTGTGTTCTGTGCATCGGCTCTAGCATCTGGTGTTCTCATCAGTGTTCTTCTTCCAGTGACGGAGGTTTTGGCCGTTGCTTGTTTCCGTGAAAAGTTTGAGGCGGAGAAAGGTGTCTCTCTCCTTCTATCTTTATGGGGTTTTATCTCTTATTTCTACGGCGAGATTAAATCCGGCAAGAAATTTCTCGATATACCTCAGTCGTCGGAGATAGAGCTGCCTCCACTTCCAGTCAGTGGCTCTGTTGCTTGAAGTTCTATTTTCATTTTTTGTTTTCTTGGTTATGTGTGACTGCATATTTTCAGTGAGTTTGTTATTGTTTTTTTTTTGTTAAAGAGTAAATTATAAATCAAAATATGAGTTTGATACAATCGCTGAGATAGCCTGATGCTTCTATGGCGAAAAAGTAAAAACCAGTGAGAAGCTAGATTAGTAAAAACTAATAAGATAATTAGATCCTAGGTGTGGCTAATTACAAGAGCGAAACCAAGAAGAGAGGAGATGACAGCAACCTTTCCTGGCTCTTCTCGCTAGCAGAGTGGCTCGAACTGTTGAGTCGATTTGGGCAAACAGAGAAACCGGAGTTAAGGAGGTGAGGTTATGCCTTCTGCTGTTTCTTTCCTTCCAGATATAGTAGATTGTTGCCTGGGAGACAAACTTCTTAAGAAGCAGGACGTTGACTCTGTTATTTCCCTGCAACATCCAATGCAGCAGCGCTTGCCAGGAATCCAGCTCGGCAGAGGGAGCCCCAAGGCGACGGAAGACAAGTCTCCAAACTGCAGAAGAGAACTCACAATGGAGGAACAAGTGGTCTCTTGATTCAGGAGAGACTGAGCATAGAGTGCATCCCGGGTTATATTCAGACCCCAAGTAACTAGCCTTGCATTTAAAGAAAGTCTATCCAAGTTTACAACCCAGAAGTTGAAGACATGCTTCGGAACACAATGTTTAAACCAAACAGCCTTAAACCATTCTCTGGTCAAACGGTTTGGTCGCAAGAAGTTCCAGGTATTTTTGGTGGAAAATTCTTGACTTCTCTTGTTCGGGGGACCCCAAAGGATAACATCACGCTCGACAGAAATACCTACAGAAGACGGATGGCCGTTGCCGAGATCGGCGACGGCGGATGAGAAAGGAATTGGGTTACTTTTTTTGCCTTTTTTCTTTTTCGGGGAGAGAGAAAAAAGAGAGTTTTCTTTTATTAGACTTTAATACACACACAATTCGAAATCTCTTTCCGCTAGGGTATTGGAATCTGGATCGTTCATCATGGTCCGTTGCTGTGAAATTTCAGTTTGAATTGGTACATCTGTGCAGCTTGTGGAAGTCGTTTCTCATGTGTGTGTTTCAGGTCAAGGAACTTGCAAAAATAATTTGTTATTGTTTTTGTGTATAATTAATTTAAAAAACCTAAATATGAATAATTGTAGTATATGTTTGGATTATTATTGGATAAAAGAATATTCAATTCGTTTGAACTATTCTTGGCCTAATGATCAAATTATACCTGCCAGTATATGTAAAATATAAAATAATTTAACAACCGTATAATTTACCAATAAGTCTATGGTTGCTAGACAATTAGATAAACGTTGAGAAATTCAATGATACTTTAATATATCCCTTAACAAATCTTAAAATTATAGAGTGATATCATCGTTCCACTAAATTTAGAAAGAACAAAATCTAATTCCAAACTATTGAATTTCAGATAAAATCAGGGAATGGAGTCAATGGACTATGGGATATACGTTATACGGAATTAATATCACTGTTAGATAATTACAACGTTTTGATACTGAACAATGAACATAAACTCTGTTAGCTGAATTTGTGGGAGATAAAATAGGAAAAATCACATAATTGAACCATATGAGGCTCGCTAGGTCAAACAAACAAACAAAAAACAGATCTACAGACAGGACAGACAAGCTTGGAGCAAAAGACAGCAAGTAGGTTCTCGTTTTTTTCGATAACTAACACTTTTGCAGAAACCCAATCATAAAGTTTCATTACCCACAGGAAATCAGAAGCAACAAGGGCAAAAATGGGGACGACTCTTGTGATCATAAACTGCATAATTTTAGCCATAGGAAACTGTGGAGGTCCTCTGATTATGCGTCTCTACTTCAACAATGGTGGCAAAAGGATTTGGTTCTCTACTTTTCTTGAAACCGCAGGCTTTCCAGTTATCTTCCTCCCTCTGCTCGTCTCCTACGTTCACCGGCGAAGAAGCAACAACAACGAAGGCGGAAATTCAAGTTTCTTTCTCATTAAACCTCGTCTCCTTTTAGCGGCTGCTCTGATAGGAATTCTCTCGGGCTTTGATAACTACTTGTACGCATATGGCATAGCTTATCTCCCAGTTTCAACAGCTGCTCTTATCATTGCTTCACAATTAGCTTTCATAGCCATCTTCTCGTATTTCATGGTCCACCACAAGTTCACTCCTTTCACCATCAACGCTGTTGTTTTGTTGACTGTTGGAGCTGCTGTATTGGGAATGCATACCGAAACTGATAAGCCGGTTCACGAGACTCACAAGCAATACATCATTGGGTTCTTGGTGACCGTGGCAGCAGCTGTTATGTATGCTTTTATCTTGCCATTGGTTGAGCTTGCTTACCAGAAAGCTAAGCAGCCCATGAGCTATACGCTCGTGCTAGAGGTCCAGTTGATTTTGTGCTTCCTTGCTTCTTTAGTCAGCGTCGTCGGTATGTTCATCGCCGGTGATTTCAAGGTTAGTCTCTCTTTGAAGCTTTAGAAACCTGCAAAAAGAGTTTTAAAACAGAGAGATAAGCTATGCCATATGCGTGTTTACGTGCAGGCCTTACCAAAAGAAGCAAGAGACTTCAAGCTTGGAGAGACAATGTTCTATGTGGTGGCTGTCTTTTCAGCCATAATTTGGCAAGGATTCTTCTTGGGAGCCATTGGATTGATCTTCTGCGCATCTTCTCTGGTCTCTGGTATTATGATATCGGTCCTTTTGCCCATCACAGAGGTTTTAGCTGTTATCTTCTACCATGAAAAGTTCCAAGCAGAGAAGGGTCTTTCTCTTGCTCTCTCCCTTTGGGGTTTTGTCTCTTATTTTTATGGTGAGATCAAAGCCGAAAAGGATAAGAAGAGAATTCAGCAGGAGACTGAACTGACTTCTTTGCCCAGAACCATAAGCGAGTGTTAAACTATGAATATTAGCTTCTTTCTTTAAAAGACATATCATAGAGTGAATTCATTTGGTTTCATCCCTGTTATTAGATAAGAGGATGTGTAACAACAACTTGGAACTAGTATGCCAAAAAAAAAACAACTCGAAGAAGTGTTTTTCCTTTTTCTTTACCATATCAAATGAGTTTGTGATCAAATCTGAGGTCAAAATTATGACCCCTTCTTGTTACGCTGTTTGTTCTACCAGCAATAGATGAAATTAGTCTTGTGTTGTCGTTCGTCTGCTGATTGCTTTTAGCTTTTTCATCTGTCGTGGTGGTGGGTTCATCCCATTAACTTGGTCAACAATATCGCAAGCAGCACCATTATCGAGAAATCGCGTATGAACTGAGGACCCGTCCAATTCCACCTGTAAGTTCAACCAGTAGAGAGCTTCTTGTAAAGCCTGTTTGGTTCATTTTCATGTTTCTTCATTACAATAAGGAAAAATCACCAGTGAGAGCAGATAACATTTAATTGAATCACAAATGTAAAGGAAAAAAATCTAGAGACAACCCCACCAAATCTTTTTAGCTTTCTCTAACCGTGTATCTTTACACTATTTCCCATATAGATTCTAGTTATTTGACACTTGAATGCATCAACAAAGTCTATTATACCATTAGATGCATGCTTTATAAGAGATCATATTTATCTACATATACTTTTGCCGACTCTCATTTGTAACAGGCCTATATAACCCACCAGTAACATATAAGCATCACTAAATCTTCTACTGTAACCAACTACATTCCTCTAAGGTAAACTAGTGCCAGATTATCCATTTGGGTCTACCATGAGATTAACCCAGATTGTGCTGTTATCAATACATAGTAAAAATAAAACGCATGTACTCACCAGCTTCCTTCAGTAGAACCACTCAATTCACTGTTGATTTCTTCCTTTGCAAATTCTTCCAGTATAGCACGCTGACGCTCGCTAAGTTCACTAGGGCTAGAGAATACAGGAAAGTAAATTCAACAAACTGTCTTGTCTATTCTCCGCATAATCTGTTTGTGTCCAGCAAAATATTAGTTGAACTCCAAGTAGAAGAAATCTTACGTGGGAAAGTTAACACGGAATCGCACATACTGATCTCCATGATCTACAAAAAACCCCCCTTTCGGTAGTCCTGCAAAAATTCATCTTAAAAACAGTACAAGCACACACAAAAAAAGCAGATTAACCATATAGACTGATATTTAGATGTACCTTTGCCTCTTAAAGCACGAAGTTGGCCAGGCTGAACCCCCTTTGGTATCTGCAACAATTAAAACAAGTCACCTCAACTATCTCCAAAGAATTGAAATCTAAACCATTTTCTTAGGAGGATAACCAACTTAAACTCAGTAACAAATGGTAAATGCTAAATTGTAGACATTCATACACAAAATATATTATAGATCTCTCACTGGGAGACGAATCTTACATCTAGCTCTATCTTGCCTGATAGTGTTGGCACCACAACTTTGCCTCCCAAAATGGCCTGTCAAGTAAGTTTTTTAAGACATGTCCAGTACGGCTCAGGGGAAAAATAGTAGAAACAACGTGAACAACAAGACATGAAAGGATGTATCATATTGGACTAATATAGGTAGTGTAACAAGCAATTTGCAATGAAAGCTACTGAAAAGAAAAAGCTGCAGCCAAGGTTCTATGGCTGGGTGGCAAAAATGCAGCAGTAGCATGCATTTGAGTTTTATGTCTGGGAGCCATCAAGTTGAGTTTGAACTGATGTGCCACTTTATCTAGTTATAGGACAGGTGCGTCAAATTCATAATGATAAAGATGCTACTGACTAGTATTATTATACTTACTAGTTAGTAAGGTTACTGGTAAATAGAACAAAACTCATCAAATTTCAGCTAGACTGCAGACAACTTTAGTCTAGTAGATGTCCTCTAGCGGTTTTATTTTTTCATAGGACGCTGCCAAAAATATGTTACTGCGGAGCTTTATAAGCTGGCAGTTAAGACTTTTGACCACATAGTGTCACCATGCTTAGAATGTACTACTCTACTTATAACCCAAGATTCAGGAGTCACCAGTGTGCTTACTTGTGTAAAGCTAATATTAGCATCCACATAAATATCTGAGCCATCCCTAGAGAAAGTCGAATCATTAGCAACCTGTGAGCAGAAGAAGATTAGATACTTGTCATCAAGGGAAAACGCAGTACGCAGTAAGACTCTAGATGGGGCAAGAATGATGATATAATTTAAGATAATTTACAGATCTGACAAGACAGCATAAAACAATCTATCCGCTGGATGTAATAAGTCTTGATTATATAGTGACAACCTAGGACAACAAACATTATAGAGTAGCCATCACATGTAGATCTGTGAATAATGGTGTAGATTATATATGAAATGAATACATTCGAAGTCATAATTTGAATCTGACGCTAGCAATAACTGTTTTATCTCTTGGACTAAATTAATCATCTTAAGATGAGACTCATATGTTAGATCAACGTCAAGGCTGGGTTTGATTCAAAACTTCTCTAAGCACGTCTCAGGAAAAGTATTAAGATACAATTTTGAAGAAAATACAGATGCTTTAAACAAACCTTAAATTTGATATACAAGTTCCCAGGTTGACTTGTTCTTGATCTTGCATGACCAGCACCTTTGATTAGGACGGTAGCTTCAGACTCCACCCCTGTGGTCAAGTAAAGAGAAATAAGTAGATTAACATTTGACAGAACCATGTCATCAAGCACCAAACTCACTATCTATTCCAGCAAAAATGTAAGATGATACCCGAAAACCACAGTTCTAAATTATTTGTTTCGTCTCTGTCGCAAATATCAAGTGCAGACAAAAGACAATTAACCCGGAAATGCACATAGCCAAGAATAATCTTAAAACGAAGAAAAGAGAAGCCATCTATACAGTAAGTGTGACCAAAATTTAAATTGGGATAACATCTAAACCACACAAATCCTCAGAGAAAGGAACGTAACAGTGAATGAAATCTTGCCACTAATTGTATAGCAGAAGTGACATGTTTTAAAACCCATATAGACAAAAGCATGAAGATTTCAGACCAACCCCCAGGGATCTCAACTTCAACCGTCTTTGTGGCTTCCACAACACCGGATCCTCTACAAGACTTGCAGTACTCCTGAAGAGATAGACAGTATATACATGTTTGTAACCGGTGACGGAGAGATAACTACTGAAGCATCAATAAAAGAGCTCTTTTTCTCAGACCTTAACAATGTGTCCCGACCCCTTGCACGTGTGGCATGGTGCTGTAAAAGGAGGAATGGTTACCTGTGAAAGAGACAGAAGGTATAGTAGTGTAAATTTTAAACTTTACCATTGTTTAAAACCTCCAAATAAAACAAAGATTATATTCTCTAGTTGGCACTTACTCGTCCAACGCCCCTGCATGTTGGACAAGCTCCCCTCACAGCATCAAGAGTGTGGCCAAGCCCATCTGTAAAATGATATATGATGAGAGACTGGAACAAATAGGTTTGTAACAATAGTACTGTCAATTAAATGAGCCATTCGTCCTCACTAAGCCGATTTTTCAAGGCTAAAAGCCGTAAATGTTACAAAAAAACTAGAAACAATAGAGGCACAAAACTGTAAATTACATTTACATTATCGACAACTGATGACAGCCATTTCCAGAAGAATATTCTCCCTTAGGAATTTTTTGTTTTACCATTTTGAACAAAGGATCAATATATCGAACAAAGGATCAATATATCGAATTATGACGAGTTATGACTCCTCATTCAAAGTGTCTATACTTGAATACTTTTAACTACAAAAGAGAAGATATCTGAAAATTCTGGGGCCACTCACCACAGGAATCACAAAAGACATATGCATCAAAATCCAAACGCTTTTTGCACCCTTTTGCAGCTTCGGAAAAAGAAAGCGACAGTTCCACCTAATCAAATTTAAATAAAACTTGTATATTAACTGAAGAGCCTTACACAACAAGATTCACATATGCCAACCAGCTTCCCAATTATACAAAAATAAAGAGAGAATCAGAGAAACTGACCCGAATATCAGATGAAAGCTGATTAGTTGCGTCCTCAAATATCTAAATCAAGTGTACTAATGTTAGAGATTTGACTAGTCACATATACAGATGACGCAAATCGAAAACAAAATAGTGCACCTCAGAAAAAATCTTGTGGAACGAATCCGAGAAATTGGACTGGTAGGCTCGTCTGAACCTCTCTGCATCACCACCGTCATTATTTACATAATCCGAACTTCGATAGCGCAACTGTATAGTGTGATAACAGTAAGAAATCTATTTAGTGATCCTTATCATATTCGATAAACAACAACAGCAGCACAAGCGTACCTTATCATATTCTTCTCTTCTTTCAGTATTTCCCAGAGTCTGCAGTTTTTTCAATCCAACACAAAAAAGTATATTAGATGATAGTGATACATTCAAAATACACAGAAGGTCACAGATGAGTGAGATTTAGTGGGAGGAAAAGAAGAAAAAAAATACCTCATAGGCCTCTCTTATTTCCTGGAATTTCCTTTTCGCTGAAGGATTATCTCTATTCGTATCAGGGTGGAACTTTTTTGCAAGCTGCACAGTTGTACATTCAATTATAAATTTGAGCGGACAATTTACTAACAGTTTCTGGTCGAAGTAAAGAAAGTGTGGGAACATGAAGAACCATTGGCCAAAAGGCTCACCTCATGGAATGACTTTTTAATCTCCTCCCTGGTAGCTTTCGGAGAAACACCAAGAACATCATAGTAATTACGAGCACTGGAAAAGGATGTTCCTGAGAACCATTATGCGAAAACCAAAAGCTTTTTTAATGAACACATTGTCTCCTCCATCAAAAAAAAAAACCAAGGCGAAAAAAATGCAAGACCTGTAGCGTGAATGTAGCGCTCGAAGAACGGATTCTGAGACCCTGCAGCAAAGTGTCAAAGGATTCAAGTAAATGTATGCGTACTTCTTATAGATAAGCACAAAAACATCAATTTGGAAATTCCTACATCCCTCAGCGCATCAGAAAGCACATACCAATCCAGAATACGTTTCAGTTCTGCTAAATCAACCTGTGAATTACAGTAAATGGTGGCCAAACACTTTGATCCCTCATCCTGATAAACCCTAAACCACCATTTCAGCTGAACTTATCACTACATTGGAATTATACTATACCCCTAAACCTAATTTCATCACAGATAGGGCCATAGCCACGAACAGCATATGTATATCAGTTTCGATTCCTCTTGAAACAAGCAAAAAAATCATGATCTCTGAAGAAAACAACAACAACAACCCTAGATTAATAATTAAAAAAAAATTATCAATTACCTGGTCGCAATCCTAAAGCGGAATCAAATGTTCTTCGTGCTTGTAAATGCCCCAGGACCTAGGAAGAAAAGATGAGCATAAATTCTACAAAAGGTTTAGGCTCTCTCGGAGAATCGATACGCGATCGACAAACCCGAGGAAAATCGAGGGGGAAACAAGAGAGTGTTGAAGAAAGCAAACCCAGTTCAATCTTCGCATAATTCAAAGCAGAGACGGAGAGGTTTTTTGGTTTTGGAGTTAAACCCTACGCATTTGCCAAGAGAGACCAAAGAGGACGGACGTTTCGCCAAATCTTTTGCTTTTTTTGCCAATTCGTGTAAAGTCTCTACCTCTCTCGGAGGTTCCCAAATCGGAGACTAAAATGGATTTATGGGTTTTTTTTTTTGGTCGAACAAATGGATTTATGGGTTATATTAAGAGAAATTAGGTCGTATGACCATATAAACAATCTAAATTCATCAAATAACTATAATATACAGATGCTATGATATTCTTTATATATTTTATAATATATATAAAAATACTCTTTCTATTTTTATCCTTCTCTTCTTCCTTCTTTTCATGGCTTTATTCATTTCACTGTCTTCTTTTCTACTTTTCCTTCTCTTTCTATTCCTTTTACCCTTTCTTCCCTTCTTCTCATTTCATTTTCTCTTCCGTCTTCTTCTTTTTCTTTTTCTCTTTACAAACAACTTTTTCTATTAATATTATATCAAACGACTACTATTCTATAAAATTAATATGTAGTATAGTATAAAATATAATATAATATAAGGTTATATTCGATAATTGATTGTGGAATATAGTTAGTTTACAAATTATTCAAATAGTATAACTATATTCTTATATTTTTTTGTTATTATGGTTATACAGCAAATTATCTCTTATATTAATTAATTAATTCATTGTTGTAGACTCGAACCATTTTCTTCTTTACTTAACTATAAAGAGAAGGGAAAAAATAATTAAAGTATCGTAACGAAAGAAGAAGAAGAAGAATCGAGTTGAATCAAATCATGAGTGGGCAGGAGAATCACGATAGCCGGATCTCTACTCCTCCCGCCGCGTCGGAGCCCAAAGCTCCTCATTCCTCTGAATACGCTCCTTACCCTAAGCTCGACCCTGATGATGTCACTCCTCCTCCTCCTGCTCCCATCTCCGGCGATGCCGCCACCACCATGCCCCCGGAGTTCAATCCTTATGTTTCTCCTGCCCCTGTCCCTAAGAGTGAGTTATTATTTCTCTCTATCCGATCGAATTTCTGCGTTTGATTGACTGATCTTGGTTTGGTTTGTGGCAGATACGATGGACTCGGTGAAGGATACGCTTGGGAAATGGGGGAAGATGGCGGCGGATGCCACCAAGAAGGCGGAGGATCTCGCCGGAAACGTTTGGCAGCACTGTAAGCTCCCTTTCTTCGATCAGATGAATTGCGAGATGATGATAAATCTCCGATTACTCTCTCTATCGGAGAGTGAAAGATAGATAGTCTTGATTATAGCCAATCTGGTAAAGTTAGCGTTCATCAATTCATGCTTCTTCCTCGTATAAACGCCGGAATTTTACTTCACGTTTCCAGTTCCACCACCGACACTAAAAATCCAGCTAATTAGTGTGCCATTCATGCTCTTCCTTTTGAGTATTGACCGAAGAAATCATTTAAATCATAAGTTTTCGTTCTCTGGTTTATTGAGTCTGACTCTGCTCTTGAATCTGCTCTAGAAAAAAGTTGTTTGACTGGAAATCAAGATTATTTATTGCTTGTGCAGTTTGAGAGTATACATGCGTTTGATATATATTCTCTTTTCTCTCAGTGAAAACAGGGCCAAGTGTAGCCGAGGCTGCTGTTTCTCGAATCGCTCAGGGTACCAAAATACTTGCAGAAGGTGGATATGATAAGGTCTTCAAGCAGACTTTTGATTGCCTTCCCGATGAGCAACTCCGCAAGACCTATGCCTGCTACTTGTCTACATCTGCTGGTCCCGTGATGGGAGTTATGTATCTTTCGACACACAAGCTTGGGTTCTGCAGTGACAACCCTCTCTCCTACAAAGAAGGTGATCAGACCCAGTGGAGCTATTACAAGGTATGCCTGTTCTCTGATTCCGTTTTCTTTACTACTCTTTGTTTTGATATCCATTTTCATTTAAGAACACAATTTGATTTGAGAGCAACGATTCAAAAACTGTGATTATTCGTTGATAATATGTTATAGGGTTTAGTGACTCTAGTCATTTCCATAGAATCTATAACAAAATGTCTTGCCGTTTCTAATCATCGACAGATAGAACAAAGTGTGTGTACGCTGATACTAAATGGAAAGTGCATGTCTTTCTAAGGATATTGTTAGGTATCCACGTAGTTGCATACCTTTGATCCTGAGTAAACAACTTGGGACATAATTGTTACCCTAAGAGCAGTCCTGATAAAACTAGAGGAACCATCGTGTAGTTGTTGGTTTGAGAGTTTTAACTGGTTCAATTGTAATGTTTAAGAAGGAATGCCAAACGCCAAACATGAGCTGGAAGCTAATCTAACCAAACGCAAAACTTCTATGAGAATACGTTCTCTGGATATTGTTAGACATCCACGTAGTTGCATACGTTTTATTTCCTGAGTAAACAACTTAGGACATGATTGTTAGCCTACGAAAGCAAGCTAAATCGTATTGCAGCAGTCCTGATAAAACTAGATGAGCCATCGAGTAGTTGTTGGTTTGAGAGTTTTGACTGGTTCAGTTGTAATGTTTAAGAACATGAGCTGGAATCCAATCTAACGAAACGCAAAACTTTCTATCAGAATATAATCTCTGCATGCTTGTTGTATCAACTAAAACAGATTTTGAGATTTGCGTGGTTCCTTGAGAACCTTAAAGTCTATGTAGAGCCTGAGAGTGATGGTTTTGATCTGATGATGTCATATGAACAGGTGGTACTTCCGGTGAACCAGCTGAAGGCAGTGAACCCATCAACAAGTAGAGTGAACACATCAGAGAAGTACATACAAGTGATATCCGTCGACAACCACGAGTTCTGGTTTATGGGGTTTGTGACTTATGAAAACGCTGTGAAGAGCCTTCAAGAAGCTTTGCAGTCACATGGTCCATGAGGTCCACTGGTAAAATACAGATCTTAGTGGTATCGTGCATTAAATATGGAACAGTGTGTTTTAGTATTTGATACCAGTTCAGTATGTGTTGTAGATTTTGCCATGCGCGGTTTGATCATAAACATTGCTTTTGTATGATTACATTCTTATTTTGTACTTGCAAATAAAGCCCATTGAATCTTATCTTGTTCCGTTTTGATCCAGATATATTTGATCCTTGGTGCTTCTTGATATTATTTTGTCATTTGTCAATGGTATCAGAAAATAATGCAAGATACCCCAAATCTAAGAGAGGATTCTCTAACAAAATTTTAAACTTTGGCTACGAAGGCATCAAATTCCTAATCTTCCCACTACAAATTCAGATTCTTGAGAATCACAGCATAAAACACAGAGCAGAGTTCAGGGTTTCAAGAAAACAACCATGTTTTGATCAAAGCTCTGTTTGCTTTTTTTTTGTGTTTGTTTTTTTGTCTGAAGACCAATATTCCTTGCCTTGTACAATACATGGATCTGATTGTAAATAACTAAATTACGGGGTAAATCGCTTAAAGAAGTTAAATATAGAGGGACCTTTTCGCCATTTATCAATAGTTTCCCGAATCGAGCTAGGGCTTTTATAAAAGCCGCCGCTTCAGGAGTTGAGCAACAACAATTTGATTGCCTTATCTGAGAGATTAGAGGGTCTTACTCTTTCGATCCCCCGATTCTTGTTTTCGATTTTATGTTTTGGTTTTGTTATTGATGCGATTAAGTTCCCGATGATCGAATAAACCTTTGTATTTAGTTTCAGCCTTGTCTGAACATATCAATGTCGAAGAAAATTCATTTTTTTCTGAGGGATCTTAATTCGTCTATTTTTCTTAAATTGTTTTGAGATCTTAGTTTCACAATCTTTTTGTTCTATTTTGTACCCAATGATGATTCGAGAAAATCTCTATTAAGTTTCAGCCTTGTCTGAGATAATCAATGTTGATAAGTTCTTCGATTCTGAGGAAATCTCTTTTTTGTTCATCTTATTTCATCCAACTGTTATTTGATTTATGTCCTCGGATTTATACAAACAACGACCCTCGGCTCAAAATTTATGGAAATTAAGAAGTTTGTCAGTTTTGTGTGTGTGTGTGTGATGAATGAATCCATACAGTTCATGGCTTTATTGAATTCGTGTTCTCTGTCTCGTGAGATGTTCCTTTATGGCTAGAAACTCCATGGAATCATCATCTTCAATGGTCGATTCTTTTTCCAAAAAATATAATGTTGCAGACCAGTGGATTATATTGTAAAAATAACATAGATCTATAGAACGTATTTAGAACCAGATATGTCATATTTGTAATTCCCAACTTTGGTTATATCAATTATAAATAAAACAAATCACAGGTGTGGGAACATGTACGTAATCACAGCGAACGTGCGAATTGCATTGTATGCTTTGTTATACAAATCTGTAAAAGCAATGCAATCAAAAACAGACAAACATGTAATGTATTGTCGGTCACTCTAGACCTTAACATACTTTTATGATCACACGATGGCCAAAACTGAGCGATTCCGAGACTTTTATCGTGCATTCAAGTTTTCTTCTCTGTTACGAAAGATTATTTCTCCAACATGTCAAGCAATGGATATTTTAGTTGTGAAAATTTGGATTAGCCAAAACATCACTTGAATATAGTTTCTAAAAGTTGGGATTTAATCAACTAAGAATATAGCTTAAGGCCCATATACTACTATCTCTAACTTTCCGTATATTAGTGAATTCGTTAAGATCAGGCCCATAATCAACTAAGAGTTTTTCATTTGAAACTTTCATCATAGAGTTCAATGTACTGAGAATTTCAATAAAAGAAGGTATGGGTTTTGGACTAGAGTGAGATTGACTAGTACATGGAAACAAATCTAAATGGTGGGGGTTGTGCAATCGTGTTTAAAAGTTGTTTACATATATTTGTAATGAGAAGTTAGCGAATGGTCATGAAGATTTGAACTTACTCAAAGCCATAGCTCCTTGTCGTCTTCTTGTTTCCTCACCCAACAAACTACGTACGTCGACTTAATTTTCTTATTCGAGTTGTCAGGCTTGTGCCTACCAAACTTTAAGATTTAGCATTTGGACTGTTCTTGTGTTAAATGAACATAGTCAATCTTCCAATACCTAGACATTTGATGGGTTATCCATCTCCGTCTGATTTCTGGCGTGAAGTGTATTTTATCTGAGATATCCAAAATATTTGATATGAAATACCATTGTCATAATTCAGAGATCATCTAATGCATGCTCACAAGATCATGTCATGTCTAAATGCTCAGATTTCCAAATATTTGATGTCTATATATGTTCCAAATATTTGATCCATAATACATAAACTGTTATATCGAACATAGCATGATTATATTCGAATAACATTAGTGTAAGAGTTGGTATTGGAATTTTCAAACACCTTTTTAACTCAAATAGTTAAATTTTATTATTATAGTTTGACCTTGATGAGTGTACACGCTTAACCTTGAGCAACCCACGAATTTGTATATATAATTAGTAGATAATATTTTTTTTCCATGTATCGTTAATCGTTTATGTATTTTTTTTTATAAAAGTTTGCTACAGTTAGATCAATATTATGTCGATAACACTTACTCCCTCCGTTTCAGAAAGTTTGATGTTTTAGAAAAAAAATTTGTTCCACAAAGTTTGATTTTTTGGATTATATATAATCTATTTCTTTTTTCGAGAACACTTTATTCTTGGAAAGAGAAAATATACATTAAAATAACTAATATAAAGAAATATTAAAATGAAAAAGTAACTGAAAAGAATAATTAATGATTACTTCTTAAAATTTGTAAAAAATTTAAAGAATCGTACATTAAGAAACAGAGGAAGTATATAACACAAACACAGAAACAGTAGCTGTAAGCTTAAAATTTGAAAGTAGCACTCAACTTCTACATTCAAACAAACTAATTTAAGGTGGAAAAAAAACCTGAAACGAATATGTAACAAACTTTAACTAATTTAAGATGTGTATGCTATATATAAAAATTTGAGAGTGACCAAAAATGTAAGTTCTTGAAAATTTTGATATCCAGTTTCTACATTCGATTAACGCTAACCAAAATCTAAAAAAATAGAATATGTTATTACTCAGGCTCTTAAAAAGTTTGTCATAAATTTCGAAATACGAGGCAAAATGAAGAAAGCATGCAAAACAAAAAGGAGGGCGAAAAGAAAAAGAAAGAAAGGCGGGAGTGGCAATTCAAAACTAAATAAAGTAAGGAAGAGGCGAGTCAAAGTAAGGCAACCTAATTACGTACACTAAATTGATGATGAGTCAAAGTTAGACCCAAAGGAGAGGTGGCTACTACTTCTCTTACGAGTTGCAACTTCTCTCTTACGAGGTGATTTTATGAAGTTGATAAACCTTTACCCATTTTGCCTCTTTCGTTGCTACTATATGTTTCGATGGTTGAATCCTATTTATTAAGGTGTAACACTTAAAATCGTTAAGGTGGATCACACAAAGTATAAACCGGACGATATATGAAGAAATGGTGAAACGTAATAGATCTAAAACTCGTATTTTATCTAAACTACGATACTGATATGTTTCATATATATGAATTTTCTAGCACAATCGAAAAAGAAATAGCATGTTGTACACATATTGATAGAAGTTTATGATATGACATTTATCGCCGAGTATTAATTTGGAGTATAACTTTCTAAGCACGATCAGTTATATCAACCTAGTATACTGTAACCGGTTAAAAATAAGAAAAGAAGTTGAGTGATTATTTTAGAGTTTCGAAAATGTGTGGCTATTAAATGCTTAAGAAAACTTAGCATAATGTCATAATCCATTAAAGTTGAAGTACCTTAAAACGAAAATGGAAATGTCTAAAAAGAACACTCGATCTTTGCTTTTCCACCGGTCTAAGTCTTTTTTTCTCTCTCAATTCATTTTATATTGGTATCATAGAGTTTTACATAGTGCCGTCACGCACGTTCAACATTGGTCATATTCATAATCATTAAACTAATCGCTTCTTAATCACAGTTAACACTACAACTTGGACCAAATCTAGTCCATCTAAATCTATATATATATAACTATTAAAGTAATTTTTTGCAAGATTTTCAAAATAAGTAAAGCTTTTAGTGACCGTTTAAAGTAAAACGAAATTAGCCTTAAAGATATAAAAAATAACGTTCAAGTGAATATAAAAAAAAAAACTAAAAGTTTAAAGGAAAATAGTAGAGGACAACCGAAACTTTACTGGAAAAAGTTATTCAAAACAGAAAAGCAAATGAGCAAACGAACACATTATTATGTAAAAAAAAAAAGAAAAAAGAAAATTAATTCATTTACCCAATAAAATGAGCAGAACTTAAACAGTATTTTGAATACGAAAAATATAATTTCTCTGTATAAGCGGCGGTAATGTAATAGTGTATATAAATACAAACCAAAACTTCGCCTCATTTGTTCACACTGAAACTACAAATCTCTCTCTCTCTCTCTCCTCCGCATCAATTTCTTCATGACCTTCTTTCTCTAGCAGAGAAGATCAGAGTTTTCGTTTGTCATCACAAAAACCCTAAATCCAGTTAAATGGGCCATGATAATATCACGAGGCTCGCGAGTCTACTCGTAAAGCTACACAGAGCTCCATCGGGTTGGCTCTGTCTCCATCCTAGACCGGACCGATCCATCGGAAACCAACGACGGATCAAGCTCGTAAGATCCGACGGTTCCTCCGAGCTCTACGACCGTCCCGTGGTGGTCTCGGAGCTCACAAGAGATTTCCCAAAGCACAAAATCTGTAGATCGGACTTGCTCTACATCGGACAGAAGACCCCTGTTCTGTCTGAAACCGACACGCTTAAGCTCGGACTCAGTTACTTCCTCCTCCCTTCTGACTTCTTCCAGAACGATCTCTCGTTCCTCACCATCGCCGCCTTGAAATCACCTCAAAACGGAGGCGTTTCGGTCAGAAAATCCGTCGGGACTCATCAGCAGCCTTTTTTTATACAGAAGGGACAAACGGGGGAGAGGCTGAGGATCCGAGTGTCTGAAGATTTCATGTCGGAATTGATGATGGACGGAAGAAAAAGCAGAGAAACCGAAAAGGAAGATGGAGACGAAGAAGGAGGAGGAGGAAGAGAGAGCGAAGGGAGAGTTTGTACGACGGTGAAATTGAAGAAGGATTATCTTCAGTTGGTTGGTCTGCGTAAATGGAAGCCGAAGCTTGAGACGATAAGGGAGACGAAGGCGATGAAAGCGACGGTGGAGAAGAAGAAGAAGAAGAGAAAGAAGTTTCCTGCGATGAAGAAGAGATCATGCAACGATTCTTCTCAAACTGATTCATGTGCGAAGCGTAAGCTTCCTTCCAAGTTCAAGTCCAAAACTAGTAAAGCTGTCCTGAGAAAATTAGCTTAATTTTTGTTTGATTAAAGAAGTTAGCAGATTGTGTGTTGATGATACATAGAAATTGTTGAAATTATGTAAAGAAGCTGAGTAAAAAAAATTAACCAAAGGATACAAATTGTTTCCGAAATTGTTGGATTCTGCAGATTGTGTGACAATTGAATCAAGTTGCAAATACGTAATCAATCTGTTCGTAACTTGCTAATTGGAGTATAGAATGTTTGTTCTTTTTTGCATGAAAATGATGAGTTGCTTTCGTTCTACCAAAAAAAATAAAAATAAAAATTAGAATCTTTCGAGTAATGTTGAACAAACCATTCAAATAAACAAATTTGAACGTCCAATGGATAAACTTTCTGAATCTGTTTTGTCAGAACAACAAAAATAAGAAGTTCTACTTTTCTTTCTATTTCGGCAACTTGGTTTATTGTATTGGGTTTGAAGTTTTTGTTGTTTAGCAAATATATTTACTATAAAGGAATAAACCAACAATTTGTCTTTTGTTATGTAAAACAATTATTTTGGTATAAAATACTCGAGAAAATTAAACTAAAGAAACATAAAATAAATTTTGTTTTTTAAAAGATATATAAAATTTAGTTTGTATCTTCATGCTTTTATGTGAAAGATAATAATTTAGATTTATCATTTTACTTCTTTTTTGAATTTTCATTTCAACATATTTTACTTGAGTTAGAAAAAGGACAGACAAATTGGACCCCAAAAAAAAACCAAATTACAATAGTTATTTGAGACCCTCGTTACATCCACGTAGTTCACAAAATCAAAATACAGAAAAATAAAAGGACGAAAACTAAATAGAAAAAGAAAAAAGAAAAACAGGTAAAAGCGTGGTCGTATTTACTATTTGTGATAAATCTTTGAATGAAAAATATATGGGGAAGAGGGAGAGATAGATAGAGAAGCACGTGTTTGTAGGAGTTTTTGTGTCAGTCTCGTTTTGATTTTGTGAACAAAAAAGTATGAAAAAGAGACAAAAGAGGAGTCAAAGAAAGTCACCCAAAGACATATCTCTTTTCTATAGCTAAATAGTATAATAGTGAATGTAATGTAGCCTTCAAATTACGACGATGACAACCCCAACAATTTGAATAATATTAATAATTAGGTTTACTGTATTAAAAAACATGTATCAAGAAAGGAATCGGATATACCAATTATCTTCTAGAATGTGAGATTGATGGGGAATTCTAAATTTTGTGATCTCTCTATTATTTGTTTGCTTCTACAAGAGCCCACTACAACACTCTTGTCTCTGTATTTTCTTTTTCCCGAAATTATGATAAAAGTTTGTTATCCACTGCAAATCGTTATTAGAATACAACTGGTTACAACAAATTAGAATATAAAGAATTAATAGAATAAATTTATGTAAAATAAAAAAAAATATGAAATAAAATGAAATTTTTTTGTTTCCTTAGCATTTTTGAAGTGGAATAATTTTTCAAAAAAATTGTTTTTTCCTTTATGGAATGAATGCAATACGTGGAATGATTTTTCATTTTTTTTTATAATTGGTAATAATTTTGTGAAATTTCATGAAATTCTCAATTCCACATAATTTCATTCCTAAAAACTACAATCTAGTTACAGTTTTAGTTGAGAGATATTTTTCTAATTCCACCTAAGTACAATAAAACTTCTATAAATTGGTAGTTTTTTATATTAATAATTTATTGATTTACAGAATTTATCTTAATTTATAATTTTTACATTTTCTTTAATAATCAGCATATCAAAAATTTAGAAAACATACTTAAAAATGCCATGATCAATAATACTGAAAACCTTGATAAATCAACATTTCGGTGACGATGTATTGTTATTTACATTTTTTTTAAAAGTATTGTTATTTACTTATTTGTTACAACTTACAACTATCTCCATGCATCCACTGATTCACCCGATTAGGGCCTAGTGATTTCGGGCTTTTTTTCTCTCGTACATACTTTTACAATTTCCATTTATGGACTAGGGAGGTGCTTGCTTTATTTTTCTTATAAATATCACATCTGACCTCTCATCAAGTGATCATGGTCAAAGAATCAGACAAGTTTTCCAAGTTGATCCATGAGCTCGGTGATGATGAGGCAGCGATTATGTTTGTGAACACAAGGAATATGGTGGATTCCATCGTCAGGGATCTTGAGAAGTTTGTAAAAATGGCGTGTGACGACATTGCACCACGCAGGGAAGTCGCAAGAACAGAGAAAAGCCAGCTTAGAAGGATTCAAAAGAAAAGAGATTCAACGTTCTCGTCGCAACTTGCAACGGGTATTGTATCGCGTGGGATTGATGCTGATGTAGCACACGTCATCAACTACGATATGCCTAACGAGATGGATCCGTATACGCATCGCGTTGGACGAACAGGACGTGCAGGGAAGAGAGAGGTGTTGCGATCGACAGCGTTTTTGAGTCTTTTGACTCTTGAGGATAAAGATGTGTTTTACGCTCTGAAACAGGAGCTTGTTAAATCTAATAGTTTGGAGCCACCTAAACTTGCGAGACACGCTAAGTTTAAACCAAGAACCGTTCTTGATCGATTCTCCAAGAGACCAAGACACAGAGACAGTGACAATGTCACATCACATCATAAAGCAAAAGAGCATAACAACAACGGAAAGTTCTTTCATCAAAAGAAATCTTAAACCACACATATACTTTATAAATTCATAATTTTAAATCCGTACCTCGAAATTTCTCCTCGATGATCATATCAATTTTCTTCTCCATCTCAGGAGTCAAATAGTTTTTGAAGTCACCAACTTCCCCTTTACGGAAAAAATTCTTGTGATCAACGCCTCTAGCGGTTTTTCCGGTCTTGTTGACCTCCAAATTCTTCAAGTTACGCAATGAGCAAAGGTCTAAGATCTCTTCCACAGATCCTCTCTCTTCTTCTTCCACCGTAAAAGGACAACCCAAGAACTCAGCAAGTTTCTTGAGCTGCACAAAAGGCTCTGTCTTCAACTCCTCGTACCTCAAGAAAAGCACATGCTCGGGATCTTCTAAGCTCCCTCTCCGGTAGCTCAAGACATGTTCCCAGAACGGTCCATAGTAGCTAACTCCTTTGCAAAACGACTCGAACATTGACTCCAACAGTAACATGCTTCTCTCTTCTTCTATCTTTAGATTGGCGCAGTCGAAATACCAAAGCGACACCAACGCGTCTTTCACGTTCCTCCACAGGTACACGACCTTGCAAGAAGAGTTCTTGAGAGCCTCTTGGAGAGTGTGGAACGGCACGTGCGTGGAGAATAGCCTCGGGGACGATGAGAAATTGGTGAGATCCGGTTTTGAGGTTTCGGTGTATAGCCTGAGCTCGAGGACTGGTACTAGGCCATGAGGATTATCAGACAGGAGAGGATGATTAGAAGAATGTTTTGATCTCTCGAGGAGTGCGACTGTGAGAGCTTTGAGCCAAGTAGTGCCGGATTTGGGGAACGAAGCCACGATTATATCGGTTTCTTGTGGCTCGAAACCTCTTTGGAGATTGAGGATTCCTTGTAGAGTTTTGTTGTCGTACCAACATCCCTGGTACTTGAATAGTTTGGTGCCATGGAAATTTATGTCGCAAGGAAGTGAAGAGATCAAACTTATGTCTCTCTGTAGGTTTTTTGGGATCTCATTCTCCATAATTTGTTCTTAGTTTTTTTTTTTTTTTTTTTGCTTTACATGCGTTTTCGAATTATCGAATCACAAACATAATCATTTATTTGCTTTAATAACGCCGTTTCAACTGCCAGTCAACTACATTTAATGTGCTTGTCGTTGAAAGTTTCTATATTTAGTAAACAAACACATTTTCTTGTCGAGAAGTCAACCAGCAAGTTCTCTTCTCTCCATCAAATTTTAACCAATGTGGAACAAATATGCTTACAAATGAAAAGAAAAACAATTATAGTATGGGCTTTTTTTTCCGCAAAGAAGTAAACAAGTCCAAGTAGGAGAATGTAAGACTACACTCATTTTGCTATGCCATAGTATTGAAACTAAAATTTTAGAGAATTTTAAAAAATTTGAGTTTTAATAAAATTTTAAATGATATTATGTGAATTGGAAAAGTTGATATGATTTGATATTAAAATTATATAAAATCCTATGTAAAACAATAAGATTTGAGTTTCTATATTTTTAATTAATATATTCCACTAAATCATTTAAAAGTACTCAATATTTTTTACAATCCACTATGTAAAATATTTCTAATAACAATGAATTTGATTTAGCTTTTATAAATTGTTGATTGAATAACATGGATTTTTAAATGACTTTAGTTAGTTTTACATATATTTCATGTTTAATAACATCAATTTTGGTAAGACATTTAGAAATCATTAATTTAATAACATGGATTTTTAAAACAACTACCAAATTTTCTGAAATTCATAATCCAATACACCCTATGAGTGTAATATCACATTCTCCCACTTGGACTTATGTACCTGATTAAAAAAGTTGAAGTTTTACTTAATTAAAGGAATCTCATAGTAATGTTAGTTAGTGGATATTTTCTTTTAAAAAAAATCATGACTCGATCAGCGAATCCTTGAGACAAGTTATCTTGTTCCACATTGGTTAGAATTTTGATGGAGAGAAGAGAACTTGCTGGTTGACTTTATCGACAAGAAAATGTGTATTGTTAACCAAATATAGAAACCTTCAACTACCAGCACATTAAATATAGTAGACTGGTAGTTGAAACGGGCGTTATCAAAGCCTCGGGCAGTCACAAGACACTAATTTTTCTCTTTTGTAGTGGTTGCAGATTAATTGAGTAGTATAAATCCATCTATCTTGAAAACCAAACTATATTTTCTTCCTTTATTTCTTCCTTGTATGATCAAAACACATGATTAAGCTCTATATCTACTTTTTAAGTTGGATGTCAGTTAACATGCATGGTCCATAGATGAAGTCACCTTAGCTGCCATTTAGAGTAGTTTTTAGAGTAAATTAGCTGGTAATTAATAATAACTTAGTTTCTTTGTAAATTTCAAATTTGAATCTAAAACTTTTTTTAATCATTTTTTGTATTTTTGCTTATATCATGCTTATGTTTTGCTTTTTTTTTTAATTATTATTTGTATTTTGTTGTCAATTTGTTTTTTTTATCTTATTTTCTATTTTACAATAATTATAATGTATTGATTATAAAATAAGCATATGTAACAACAATTAACCAGAAAAAAGAAAGATTAGACATTTTTAAATTTTGATTTTTTAGGTTTCTGATAAGAACACGATCACTATATTGATGAATACCAAAGAATTATAAAGAAGAACTAAAGTTTGTTAGACTTGCAAGTTCACTAATCTTCAATCTCAACAGAGAACAACAACGATGGAACAACAAAGCATAAACTCTCAAGAGAATTACTTCTACTATTTATACTAAACAACTATTCATCTGCTTCAGTTTCTTTGACGCTTTGTTCTTGTTTCAGCTCCAATGAGAGTGTGCCACCTCCACTTCCCTGCTCCTCTGATCTTATCAATGCCCCCATTCGAAGACGCAGCTTTGTCCTCAAGCTAAAATGATAGAGCTTCTACAACAAAGAGAGAACTTCGGTACCACAGTGAGGCAAACAGGTTCATGATCAAATGTAATTGTTGTGGCTTCTCCTTTTGTACCATCAGTCTTGTTCCCGTAAATAAACTCAAAGCCTCGCTTGTGTGTAATGGTTTGATCTTCTAGCTCTTCTTGTACGTTGATGACATATACTATTTGCCTTTGAATGAGCATTATGTCAGCAAGATTAACATAACCTGGTCTTCGTGAGTGTCGCCTGGGATGCAAAATAACCTTGTTCCAACTGTTGGTTCTGCATCTTGTCTAAAAAGCATTTGCCAATTCCAATAAGATTTCTTCCTCAATTGATATTGCAGCGCATAAGGCACTTCTTTCTTTTCTCACCAAGATAATGTTCTGCAGATTTTTCTTTTTTCCAACAAGGCTATACAGAAAAATAGAGTCTCTTGTCCACAAAGGGAGAGTCCAAGACGAGAAGATCCCCTTTAGAGATTCTCAAACTTGCTTGGCCTCGTAACAACATCATTGCTCCTTTTATCCACTCTGTAGCAAGTTCACGATGTGCAGTCTGTCCTTCTTCTACCCCATTCCTCAATAACAATGAAAAACATCTCAGATAAACCTCTGTTACACCCCGCTGTTTCAGGAAACAGATATGGTTTGTTTGAGTAGTTTTGCCTAAAAGGCATGATTGTGGTGTTTCGTAACTGGTGCTCATATCAATAAAATACAAAAGTTCTTAGCAGTTTCACAAATGGGATGAATTTGATAAAGCTAAGCAAAATTATAATTTGTTTTTTTTTTAAGAAGAAGAAGATGCAGAAAGGCATCTGTCAGGTCGAGAGATGCTCTGCAGATGTGAGCAGAGCCAGACACTACCACAAACGACACAATGTTTGTCAATGTCATGCCAAAGCGTCTGTTGTTCTGATCCCTGGGCGTTTCTGCCAACAGTGTAGCAGGTAAGCTTTCTGTAATGACAATTAACAAGAAGGTTTCACTAGTTCGATGAATATGATAAAGCCAAGCGAAGTTATGTTTTTTTTTTTTTTTTTTTTGTATTTTTGCTTATATTATTCTTATGTTTTTGCTTCTTTTTTTTGGTTATTTGTGTTTTTGTTGTCAATTTGTTTTTTAATCTTATTTTATGTTTTACAATAATAACATTTGATAGTAAAATAAGTATATTTTTTTTAAAAAAAAAATTAAAAGCTTTGGTTTGTAACCGAGATAAAAAAAAAAGACCGAGAATATAAGTTGATTGTAATTGTTATGGTGATAACGTATTAATTGTAATTATTACTTTTTCGATAAGCAACAATAACAAAAACATTCCTTGAATTTCCAGAGAACATAAACGCTACTACAAGAGAGAGAGACACTTTCTATCTCTCATTCCACTCCATAATTAATCAAAACGAAAAGGGATTGTGACAAACAAAAGGGAACTAAAAACAAATAAATAAGTCACAAACTTGGACAACTCACTAGAAGAATGTGGAGGATGAAGAATCAAACCCTTCTGCTCCACTCTGACCAAGACTATTTTGATCCACAAAGCCATCGAGCTCAAAGGAAAATGTATCCATGCTTGCATGCGCCACATTCCAATAGCCATCCGTCTCGGGAATCCTAAGTTCAGCTCCAAAACAAGTACTTGGAGGAAGAGGTGGAAGCTCATGATCACAATGATCATCATTGTTTATAGATTGATAACCACATTCACTCTCTTGGGGCCAACCGTTGTATGAGAATTCAATAGAGTTTTGGTTTTGGTTGTTGGTCGATGAATAGAGATTGTTGTTGGTGTTTTCAAGAGCTTCTACTTGGCTTGGAGGGTTGAATAACTCGGAAATGAAACGTTGGGATTCATCAGGAGAGATGAAGGAGGTTACTGAGGAGCCACGAGGCATATCGGAGTAGACAAAGTTGGTCCGAGCGGTCAAGCCTCTTATGGAACGTGCGGCTCTATCATAGGCCAATGCAGCCTCCTCGGCTGTATCGAAAGTACCTAGCCAATACCTCTCTTTTGTAGTCGGGTTTCTTATTTCAGCTGCGTATCTTCCCCACGGCCTCCGCCTCACTCCTACGTACTTTATTTCTTCATTGTGTTGTTGTGGTTGCAACTGCGGTTGTTGTTGCTTTTGCCTCTGACTCTTTTTTGACCTAGAGGAAGAACCGGCATTCGAATTACCACTGAACTCCATAGTTAATTAGTATATTTTTGCTTACACTCAAAATGTGCAATGATAAGGAGATAATAAGAAGTGATGAATGGAGCAACGAAAGTGTGTGTTTAAATAGATGATGAGGTCACTTGTACTATGTGTATGTAAGGAGCCTCTCTATTATTCTAAAGGTCCCTTTAGGGAGAATTTTTAAGATACAAAAAAAAGTGGGTCACATGGAAATGTGCAAATCAGATGATCATCACCATCTAATCATATGATTGAAAGTGAAATGAGTTTGTGGCTTTTAGGGTTGGCCCAAGTGAATCATGTAGGATTATGAAGCAATCTGCAATGTATTTATATTTTTCTCTCTTCTTTTTCCAATCTTCTTTTTCTCTCTCTTTTCTCTTATTTTCCTTTTTTACCTTTAAGCATGCTATTATTTTGGGAACGTGAGATTCTTTGTGCCTGGTTATGATAACTTGTAGTTGTACCATGTTTTGGGTTTTATTTCAATTATGAACTTTGATCATATATAGATCTTTTTCCCAATCAACTGAGAGTCTTAAAATTCGTCAGCGTATCATCCAAATCGTTTTTTTTTTTTTTAATCTTTTGACCTCCATATTAGTTTTCAAATAAATTTGGTATTTGAGTCTCACCTACATGCATGTCACTTGCGCTAAGACTATTTTCTTATCATAGATTCATACATGTGGTACATCTGCACACGTAAAATTTATTTCCATCAAACTGATGAATTCAAATTCATTACCCCCATGCATACAAACGATGGTCAACATCTTTAACCGATTATCTGGTGAGGTTCCGGTGAGTCTTTGGATTTTGGTATTACGTACCTACCCATTGAGTATGACGAGCTTAACTTTAATACACACATCTAAAAAAATTATTAATTTAATATGCTACAAGACATGGTAATATCATCCAATTTGTTAAAGCTAGAGTTTATGATTCTACATCTAGAGTTTAGTTCTATACTTCGAATAGATAGTTAATTTGATATATCAGATATCCATAACATCACTCGTCCTATAACAGTTAAATGAAAGATAAATCAAAGCCAGGATATTAACCTTTCCTACGATTGTTATTTAGTCTTACATAATTTTTCATCTATTTTTTCATTTACCAAATTGACTCTAATATGCGAAAATTTCCCTTTTTGCTTCTTGTTAATAACGGAACTAATATGTGAATTTTCTTAATTTTTTTCCTGATTACATTTGTATTTCAAGTAATAGATGGAGTTGCTTATGAATATATGTGCCACTTGATCTAATGATGGGCTAATCACATGCTTTACAATACTCATGATTGCAAGCCCTGCAATCTCTCGGATCCAAATGATTATTTTCATTTCTTTTCATCATGATTTATTCGATATTTAATTATTTACATGATTTCACGAGGATTAAAAAGGAAGCAATTTATATGAATATTATAGAAGCTTTGCTATATAAAACTATTTGTTCTCGCTTTCTTAATTTTATTTTGTGGCGTTTACATATGACTATTCCGATGCTTTTATGATTAGTCGCATGAACTTGAACATGTTCATTATCCACACAAAAAAGTAAACTACAGATTCGTATAATAATATTGTGTATATTATTGCCATGTCTTCGTTTATATACGTACGATCAAGAAGAGTTTATGAGTGTTATAGTGCGTAGCTACTTATATATACGCGTGCATAAGGTTTAGCCATGAAATCAAGTTTTGGTATTGGGATAGAAATGTATACCAAAATTAAAGCAAACACATTAGTTCAATTTAGTTTGGGTTTAGCTTTGACTTTGCCTCAGTTGGTCGTAAATTCTCATGTCATCAATTTTGTTGTCAGTGCTATTTTTTGGGTTAAATAATTTGTGTTTTATTTATTTAAACTTGGCCAAGTACTCACATCCGTTAAAATATCAAGCTCAATATATATTCAAGCGGGTATATAAAAATAGCATAGATTGAATCATGGACGTGTATTATATATATCGTTCATCAGTGACTTTATCCACGCTTCCATATTAAAAAGAAAACATTTATCTACGTTGTAATAACAGATTAAGATTAATTGCTAACCATGTAAAAACATTTATCTACTTTTAAAGTCATCAAGTGTAAGAAAAAGATGCAATTAGAGTAAAAAAAAAATGCTTCTGAAAAAAGACGAATGGAAAAGATAATAGTAGACTTAGTAGTTGACGTTCATGTAGATTTTTGGTTATTTTCTTGAACGAGTATGGGTCGAAATCTATGGATCGTCGTCGGAGAATGAACTACTCTACTCAAGATAACAAACGTTAAAAAAAAGTGAAATGTTTTCCAAAAACTTTTCAGTGCTCAACTCAGTATGTAGATGTGGTCTTCCCTTCTTAGTGCGTAGACGTGTCTTCGATGTTCTTCTGCTTCTGCATGCTGACACTTTTGTGAAATAGATAGATCAGTAACAAATTAGGTCTATGACTGTCCATTGATGATAAATAGTTGGGTATTTAAAATACACTTGAAGAAAATAGTCGAATTATTTATTGGGGAATACAAAGAATTCAGAAATTTTAAACCAACGATTGATCAAATTTTAGATATCGTGGAGACCTGCGTATAAACTTGGTTAAGTTTCAAGAATTTTAACAATTTTAATTACAATTTTGCTATCCAGATGGATGATATAATTTTTTTTTAACATGCATTAAGCATTGTTTTAATTACAATTTTGCTTTCGAGATGCATTATACTCCGACGACACGTGATTACTAAACCCAAACAAGAAATTTCAACAACACGAAAAATTTCGGCTAATTAATGGTTCGGACCGAGTCTCGCATAAACCCAAGGTGATTTAATTATTTTTGGTTGAGAAATCATATCTTTTATTTTTTTTTACAATGAAAATAAAACTTAGATATATATGATGTATGCAGAAAAGCTGAGAAATCTCGCGGTGCTCTTGCTTCAGTCCTCAGATTGAGATATTTTCCGACCCGAGGAGGAAGGAGAAACGATGGGTTTTGTCCTAACTTCTTCTTGTCCCCCGTCCTCGCTCGTGCTCGTCTCTCACCCTCACAAGGTCTGTCTTCGCTCTTCCGAATCTGACGATTTTATTGTTTTTCCCAATCTTTTAATAATCCTTTGTTCTGTGGTCACAATGTTTGTATCGATCAGTTCTCCGCCGGAATCAAAAGCAGTGAAATTCCGTTTCGTCCTCAATTTTCACCGACCCGTAGAACCCTAATTGCCAAACCATGTTGTTTCAATCTCCCTCAAGAACCCATTCTCTCCGAGGCTCTCAAGGTACTTTTTTTTTTCCTTCTTCTTCAATCACTTCCCTAAAGCCCGTGAGTTTCTTTTGAAATTGGATATAAAGATTTGTGATGCAGATTAGTGCATTTATATGTCTGCGGATGACAAAATTGATTGTGTCAGGAATCTCAAATAGCAATTAAGCAAGTTACATATCAATGGCTTTGATGTGTGTTCTTGATCAATCTTGGAGGCTTTCTTTTTTCACATATATTATCCTTGTATCTATTTCAATTTTGGTGGCTTTGTGGTTCTTGCAATGTGGCTGTTATAGGAGCCAATTGCATTTGTGGGTGGGATGTTTGCTGGACTGCTAAGACTCGATCTCAACGAAGAACCGCTCAAGGAATGGGTGACGCGAACTGTTGAAGCCTCAGGTATCACAGAAGAGGAAGTTGATGCAGATGGTATGGCCTCGAATGAAGAAGCAGCTCCTCAACAGATCGAGATTGAATGATGGCTCTTTGCTGTTTTTGCAGATAAATGTAGCTTTGCCTTGTCTGTGTTTATTTATGTAAAATGAAGTTTATCTATCTTGCTCAATGCGTCTTAACCAAAGGGTTCCTCTGATTATTCTTATGCAAACCCAAACCAAAGTTTTAGTTAGATTAGGCCTTTTCTTATACGCATTCAGAGATCATCGGAAAAGTATGGTCTCTAAATCAAAATGACTTGAAAGCTTCAATTTCCATTAACACAAAAGAAATACAATGAGATTACAATCATTGCTGTGGATAATCAGATTCATGTATTGAATCCAGAGATTAATCTCATCGAGTACGTAATTATTATGTAGTGACATTTTTGTGGGATCAAATAATTGGCATACAAAAGAAATCGTCCCTGACGATGATTTTAGATATTTCTTAGCTTGTGTGAATTTTTGTTTGTCCCTAAGAATGAAATAATTGATTTGATTTGATTATTAACCACAGATTGTTTTCATCCAAATCAATCCAACCACGTCATAACGAAACGACAACGTTTTAGTCTGTGACTGATGAATCCGTTCACAAATCAATGGTTGAAAAGCTCTCAATTGTTAAAGCTGAAATACTTTTATTATGTTTGATGTTTCTTTTGCATTTTATTTATAATCGCAAAAAACAATTAAAATTCTTATAATTGTTTTATATATTCGGATATTACTGACACAACCAATGCATATTCATTTGATTAGAAACCATCCAGGGAATGAAAATAAACCTGCCCGGCCACATGTGTTTAACGTCCCCAAGGTTAAAAAACTGATAATGTTCTTTACTCAAACTCCAATTAATCTTTAGCCAGATTTAACTCATCTTAAAATTGATTTTCTTTTTACTGTCGCTGTTATAACAATTAAAAATGTTGAGAAGCTGAGGCATGAGAAAATAAATAAAAAAGAACTATAGGACACTAAGCAGAAACTAAAGTTAAACTTCACTACCACTAAAAATATTTGCAGAGCACTTCAAAACAATGTAGTTTGCCTTTAACTAAAAAAATCAATATATTGAATGGAAAGGTTGAGTGGAAATTTGAGAGGTATTTGAGTTTTATTTTGAACAATTGAGAGCTTATTAGCAATTGATTCAATTTCCACCTAATCTTTCTATTTTATTCTCTCTTTTTCAATCAGATTAAGCATTCTAATTTACAGTAATTATGCACAAAAATTGAAACAAAACTCGAATTTGATGAGAGAGATCGAATTTGATGCTGTGTATTGAGAAGATGATTCAGATTCTAAACTTTTTTAATTATGTTTAACTAAGCTCCATCTTTGGTCTTTTGCATTTTCAAAAGGTTAACTCCTAATTTAAATAAGATTGCTTCATTACAATCTCAACAAAATTGGAATTTTTACACTTAGTTTATCATGGAAAATGCAGATTTTTTGTTTATTTTGTTTTCATTAAACAATTGATTGGATTCGTGTGTTAGTCTTTAACTCTAAGGATCGAAGATGCATCTTTTTTTTTTTAGTTTTTTTGCTGCCATTTCTTTGAATCTAAAAGAGATTTGTTGCTTGAAACAACATTTCTGTAATAACCACATTATGATGTCCTTATTGGGTCTGTAATATTCACATTCAATTGTTCACATTTCTATAACGACCATATTTAATTGTTCAAAATTTATTAATAGATTGTGTAGTTTATAAGAGGCATGTAGATCATTTGAGGGTATAAATAATTGAATGTGGTCGTTACAGAAATTGACTTTACAGCATTTTTGATTTAAAATAAAATGAAAAAGAAATTGCCAAACATAATTGGATATTTTTGAGCTTTATTTTGAACGATTGAGCTGCTCATTAATCTATTTAAGCTGTATAATCCATATTCAAAATAACTAAATTAGTGGGGTTTTGTGGGTAATCAGAATCTTGAATCTCTGCGAATACTTAAATTATGTAGTGACAAAAATTATAGGCATTCAACTAGAGACACACACACAAAAACAAAAAAGTAAAAAAGTCGTCCTGAGGATGAAAATGATTATTAACCACAGATTATTTTCATCCAAACCAATCAAAAGTATCAAAACCACGTCACTGTGAAACGGCGGCGTTTTAGCCTGTGATGAATCTGTTCACTAATCTAGCACCGGAACGAGTTCTCTCTAGTTTGAACTCGTCACTATGGCCTCGCGTTTGTTATCGACTACTCTCATCGGACCGCCGGCTTATCTCAACAGGTCGCCGGCGAGAGTTGGGGTGAGAAAGGGGAGGGTTAGCTTCAGGGCTGCGAGCGATAGCTCCTCTCAAGGATCCGTCGATGGAACCATTTACCAAGGTGTTTACGGTCCCTGGACCATCGAGCCCTCCGATGTGAAAGAGGTGCTTTCTCTCTTCTCAATTTCTTCACGATTTACACTAAGTTTTCGTTGCTTGCTTCGCGTGGGTTCCTCAGACTTCAGATATTGGGTGATTTGGATTGTGCTTAGTTCTCATTGACTCATTGTTTATGTATTCCTGCGTTTGAAAAAGCTCGACATGCAAAGTTGAATCCTTGATAGTTCTAGTCCAATTTGTTCACAATCTCTTGATTTTACTTTGTAAGCAAATTTGAAGTGAAAGTCTCTTTCAGTAGCTGGTTTCGATGGTGAAGTTTCTGATGATTACATTTTGTGTTTCTGTTTCAGGTTATTCTGTACAGATCAGGGCTTGTAACTGCTGCTGCATCCTTTGTAGCCGCTTCTTCTGCTGCGTTTTTACCAGGAGACTCTTGGTTGAGTGAAACGATCAAGCAAAACCATGATTTGCTCTTCCTTGTTGGTGCTGGTGGTTTGGGGCTATCGCTGTTTCTGATTCACATATATGTGACGGAGATTAAGAGGACTCTTCAGGCTTTGTGGGCACTTGGCGTTGTTGGCTCTTTCGCCGCTTACGCAGCGCTTGCTAGACCAGCAAGTGATAACTTGGTTCACTATGTCGTTGATCATCCAACTGCTGTTTGGTTTGTTGGTCCTCTCTTCGCAGCTCTCACGGGGCTCGTTTTCAAAGAAGGTTAAAGATCTGTGCTTTTCAATGTGCTTTACTGATGAACTAAGGAGGCTTAGCCGTACCGATCTTCTTGATTTGCATTTTCTGTCTGCAGGACTTTGTTATGGAAAGCTAGAAGCTGGCCTTCTTACGTTCATCATACCTTCGGTTCTTCTTGGGCATTTGGTAAAGTAGCTTGTTCGATTAAGATATCCTGATTTAGCTACCATGGAGCAAGACTCCTGAGATCAAATAAGAACTTATCATAAGCCCTAGTTAGCTAGTATTCTTCTCCATCATTTCTTTAAAGAGAACGGTTCATTCACTATGGATGTTGGTATTTGAGCAGCCTGAGTTAAATTGGGAAACTTGAAAATTGCAGAGTGGTCTGATGAATGATGAGGCAAAACTGGTGTTGCTAGGAACATGGATGGCGCTCTTTTTAGTATTTGCTGGAAGAAAATTCACTCAGCCTATAAAGGTACATTTTCTTGCTAGTTGAAGATTAGTATATGCTAGCTTCAAAAGAGTTCTTGCTTCTTATACAAGTATCAAAATGCTATAATACTAATAATGATCTTCAATATCTGGTTTGGTTGTTTGAAGGATGATATTGGGGATAAATCCGTTTTCATGTTCATGTCTCTTCCGGAAGATGAGAAGAAGGCTGTAGTTGCAAAACTCGAGCAAGAAAAGTCCGGGTAAGACTCGAAATAGTGATAACAAAATGTTTGTAAGCATCTTCAAGAACAGGTAAATATCTTGTATCGGTAGATTATATATATACCAAGGAGGAGAGATGAGACCAGAAAACAGTTTGTAGATTGTGATTAGTAGTAGCATTTATCACACACAATCTCATAAAATTACAATACAAATGCCATCAAAATCTTCTTGCGCAAAGAAACCATGATTTACCTTTTACAGATCGATAGGCGGTTTACATCTTATCCCTTGGCTGTTGTTACCTGGCCCAGTCGGACACTGATTCGGCCTTGATTTCAGGATTAAGATCTTATCATCCACTTGGTTGTTTTATTGTTGAGATTTTGCTCCTGGGTTTATTGTGATGGGCCAACCTGGCCCAGCACTGATTATACCGGTCCTGATTTAGGCTTGATTTTTACGATTTATTCGTTTATGTATTTTAGTCTGGTCCTGATTCTGATCTCTGGGGCATGGATCGGTCCGCGTCTTACCTAAATAATGCAAAGATCCTCCACCTAAACCTCGAATTTACCAAAAAAAAGAAATACGGCCTAGACCGGGCCGTCCTCTCCAGAACCGGGCTAGACTGTCTGTGGGCTTTCGACCACGTATTTGTGAGTTACACACTTCACCAAGGAGAGAGAAATTGGATCATGTTACTGTGGTATTGAGGTGGATTAGATAGAGTTATTATGATCCATATGCAAGGCGATGAACTCAACGAGTGGATGAAGTCATGTATGAGATTCCTCGGGCCAATGTTAATGACTACGCTTTGGAGGAAGAAGATGACCATAATTGAGAATAATGTCAATGAAAGACGAACATAGGGTCTCTTTCCTTGGTAGCCCAATGTAAATGTATGACGTGTGGAAAATCAGTCAATTTTTTGGGGTGTTTTTAAGCAATACGATGACCTACAATACAATGATTGCTAGTTTCTTTTTTTCCGGATTAGAAAAAACAAGGAAAATGCAAAAAAAAAAAAAAAAAAAGAGATGATAGAACTTGGAAACAAAGAGCGTTAAATTAGGGAGGGAACAAAGTTTTTGTCGTTGAAACTGAATCGAGACAAGCAATTGAAAGACAGGACACACGAGTGGGGTGTTAAATGCGGTGTACTGAGTAAGACTAATTTGGTCCACTCTCAAGACTAAATAATATGGTCTCACACTCTCTTTCTCTCTCTGAGTCTTGTTGCTTTCTGTCGCAATCTTCTAGGCGATTTGCATTTAATTCAGAATAACGAATACAAGTTATCCCAATGTACGGTTCTTGTCCAAGTTGGACCAAAGTATACACATTCCTAAGTTTGGCCAAAATGTGACTATCATACAGCTACGCTCAACACAAGTACGACTATATATTCCAATAAATCAAAGTGAAAATAGTGTGATTAAGAATGATTCTATATTATTAGATGATGTTTCAAAGAATATCTATCGAATCTAGCTTTGTTTCTTTTGAATTGGAAATATATTAGAGACAATAAAAGTTGGATAAGAGAGAGAGAGAGAGAGAGAGAGAGAGAGAGAGAGAGACTGATGAAGCGAATCCGACCAAAACTGAGGGAGAGAGCATTGAGCAAGATTTAAAGGAGAAGTCCCCACAAACCAATATGAGGACGAGCTTGAACTTGCGTGCGGACGAAAAATGAAGGAGTCGTGTCTAATGCTGCATCTCTCTATTTCTCTATCTTTCTTCTGAGTTCTGTGGGTCTCTCTCTCTCTCTTTTGTCTCTTCTTTTCGATTTGTTTTTAGTCTCCCCCTAACGTTTTAATTCCATTTTTTTTTCTCTATTTGGTCTCTCTTACACTCGTGGCTTTCTTATAACCTCTCCATTTACATTGACCTACACACACGGCTTACACACGCTCACATTTTTCGTTTTATTTTACTTCTTCGAACGGTAGATCAAGTTTTTTTTTTTTCATTTTTTTGCTATAATAATTTGATAGTTGTAGACTAAATCCCAAATTTGGCATGCCTCCTATTTTTTTAATAATAGATTATCGCATATGTTTCTTCTTCCCCATTCTTAAATACGAGCCAGAAAAGGTACTATTGAACAGGTACTGTTTCTTTTTTTTTTTCTTTTTTTTTGAACTTTACTATTTGCACTGTTTCAAGAATGTAATTAAGCATCTTTTGGTGTATATATTGAGTGAAGTGGATTTCTTGGTTACGTAATTCTTTAGTAAGCATCTTGAGTGTTAAAACTGTTACTGTTACGATTGTACTTTCTTTTGCATGTGTGTAATAACAACGTCATTATAGATTCATGATCATTAAGTATTTATCCAAAGAACACAAAAAACAACGTCATATTCAGCATCTTCTCCAACTAAATTTTGTAAGATCCTATATAGTCGCACAAACAAAATCTACAGGAATTATACCCATTATTATCTACAAACCTTACTTTGTGGTGTGGCTTATTATACCCAATTGTCTAGTATTATTAGTTTCCCATAACGTTCATTACAGTAGATTTTTGTTTTTTTTTCTATATTAAAAAAAGAAGAGAATGTGGAACGTAAAACATTGACCAACTATTTTACGAAATAAACAACTGTAGATGCACAACGTCTAAAGTGTGGTTTAGCACTACAAGCTGATAAAGGTTGGTATCTCACAAAACTTGCTTTCTTTAGGTCTAATCAAAACTATATCGTGGATAGATTCTTATCTATGAATGCATTATTTGGATCTGTCATTAAGTTGACAATACATGTTTATATATATATATATATTTCCAGACTTACATGAGAATGAACAGTTTATTTATTCGTATTTAAGAAACAGACAACGATTAGATGGGGTTGGAATGGTTTGTGTTGGTAGCGAGACGAAAACGACAGCGTTTTTTTTCTTCTGGAGAACGATACGGAAAGTAACATGACAGGACAGTTGAGAGGGAAACTCATCGTTTTCTCTTAAGTGAACAGTAAAGTGTGTTCCCTTTTTTCTTTTGCTTTAATATTTTGGGTCATAGATCTGTCTCTTTTACCCATTTACTCAAATACCATACACATCCATCAAATCCACGTCTTGTCGGTTACTCACGTCCTACATTAACCATGCTTTAAATTCATTCATCGATTCCAGTTCATCTTACCATGAATCTTGGAATGAGCGTTGGTCACATAAGCCATATGTATGTATGTATGTATTACCGTTTTCGATTCAATTTGGATCCCAAAATGTGGTTCTATAACATCTAAGATGTATACGAGTAAGCTACAAACAAACAAAACCTTGGCTACGAATCGAGTATGTTCTCTTGTGCATGTAGCTATCTCTCATCATTGAGGTACAACGCCAAGAACTAAAACAAAACATCTTATTATTACTGTGTTTTATCTAATCCAAATGCACATGAATTTACATATATACAAAACAATAAATTTGTAAAATTTCCAGTTAATTTTGTCAAACCTTTTTCAGTTAAATTTGAAATGTCAACTGTAGTTATTAATGAGCGTTTTGCAAAACGTAATAAAAAAAACAATGTTTCTTATTCGAATTTAAATTCTACGGCTATAATTAAATATATTCGACAACAACAATCAATCAGACATTAGACGCAATTGATTAACTACATTAGTAGTCCTACCAAGGAGTCATACTAATTGTTTCATTAAAGGATTATAATTTGAAAATAGTAAATTAATGATTGTGAATTGTTCAAATAAAGAATTTATGTTTCCCTATCATATGCAATACTGATTTTGTAAGACCATACATCTTTTATTGTTGTTCGAATATTCTTTAATTTTTTATTCCGCAGTTTTACATTACAATAATATTGAGGCACATGGTTTACTAATTAATAATGTTTAACCTACTTTGTGCTAAAAACACACTTGTTAAATGTCAACACAAGGAAGAAAATTTGCTCCGAAAATCTTGACAATTTTATTAACCAAAAAAGTCTTAACAGTTTCCATGTTAAACAATTTATTTTGCATAAATGAACTTATACTGGAACAATATTCGTTTTGTAACAAAGTTTCTTTTTTGTGTGTGCATGTGGTTTCATTCAACTTCACCTGTTATTTGTGTAACCAACAATGAGTTCTATTAATAGATTATCAAGATTTAGGAAGAAACAAAGAAAAAAGTGAAACCGTTGACGTTTGATAGTTGAGATTATGAAAAAATATATGATGTAAGAAAGAAATGTGGATCTCAATGATGAGGCTGTGTGTTGGCTGGCAGATTAAACCATCACCATCTTCATGTGCATCCATACGTCACTCTTCACCTCTATATCCAATTATTTCAACCTCCTCATTTTAATTCCATATTTATCTATACTTAAGTAGAAATGTTGTCAAAGACAAGGGTTACGAAAGTTTATATTTCAAACTACTATTTCATTTTTAGAATTTTCCATCTTCATTTATGTTCAGTTTATGTAAAGTTACAATTCCTATGACACAAATTATTAATTTCTTTTACATGTTGCTTAAAATTGTAGTTCAAACAAACTCTCTTTTATTTACCACTAAACAGTTTAGTAACACACCAGTCGCATTTGTTTTTTTCTTTTAAACTGTCTGTTGGAGACTTGTAATCATACATTATACATACATATGGTCCATATAATATGGAAGATTGATGAAGAAAGAAAGATGAGACTTTTTTTCCCCCAAGATGAGACTTTATGTAAAGGATTTGGTACGAATCTAGTACTGTAAAGTAGTACAAATCAATATCAGAATTTGTTTTTTCTTCAAATTTTCAAAATCTCCATCAAAAAGGAAAAGAGAGGGAGGCAGAGAATAATAA